AAAGGGCTGTAAATACAGGCAGGGAAATAATTGAGTATTTTTGCAAACAGTCTACCATGTATCCCAAGGTCCATGCACAGCAGGGGTCCCAAGATGGTCAGCCATTGGACTCAAGAGTATACCTCTAAGTTGATGCCTCACTGTATCCCCACTGCTGAGCTAGCTCCTCTCTCACCCCCAGTGTTCCCATAGACCATCAACTTATCTCCTCAATATCTATGATTCCCACTCACGGCTGCCATTCTGAACCACAGTCTTTGGGCAATGGAGACCTCGCATGGATCTCCACCCCCAGCAGCCTCTAACCATGCACCAAGGGAAACTTCTGGTTTTCTGCTGCAGAAGCAAAGCTTGATTTAATCTAATGAGCACCCATCAAAACTTCAGGTTTTCTACAGAAAAAGTTAGTTTCCAAATAAGCCAGCAAAGTAAAGGAGTTTCAGGTGGCATTGGTGGCCTGGCTGAGCCCAAGTCACCACTTTCTTGGAAGATTGCCAGCAGAGGTAAGTCTGAAGCCACACAGCAGCGGGCAGGTGGGGACTTGTCTTTTGCTGGCCCACATGGGGCTCTCTTAGTGGGAAGATCTGCTTCTTCCTGGGAGAAGCTTCTGAGAGCAACGACTGGTCCTAATGTTCTGACCATCCTTTGAAGTCACTCGTCTCATTTCCCCAACTCCAGCCATAGCTTGGTACACGTGGCCCTCCTCCTGGAGGACCCCCACTATTCTTGCAGCTGCCTGGCACCACCAGACCTGGGTGCCACCAGCATACCTGTTACGTGGGTACAAGTGTGCAGTTACATGCACTATTGACTTACGGTAAAGGACGATATATTTTGTGGGAAAAAAATCCTAAGAGAATGCTTTGCTTTTGTAAAGGTTGTCCTAAACACATGCATTTGCACCTTGCATAGATGTGAGAAGATGAGTCTTGGGCCACTAGGCACGTTTTCGTGACTCAAAGCAGGAATTGAGAAGGGGTCTTTGCTGCCACGTGTACGGCACACGCAGTTGTCACTGTGGCCCCCTCCTCCCCCCCTTTTCTTATTCTTCCTCCGCCTCCTCCTCCGTCTTTTCCTCCATTTCTTTATCTTCTCCTGCCCCCATCCCTCCGATTCCTCTCTGCTCCTTCTGCCTCCTTCCCTTGTAGCCGTGAGCACGTGGACACTGTCCGTCACCATGTCTTCTGACTGAATGTTGCTGTTCTCATTCAGAACAACACTGCTGGGTTTAGACCCTCTGGCTGCTCTGTCATCTCTCTTCTAAATCACGTTGCATTTTCTTTTCACCTCGAGCTTTCCATTTGGCTTGTGGGAGAGGCCATGGGGCAACTGAGGAGCACTTATGCAAAGAGTTTGGGAGGCCCCGACCATCCCATTTCAGAACGGCTGCAACCATTTATGCCATCCTGTTTCATCTTCCTCCTTATCCCTCCCTCCTTCTCTCCCAGGCCTGAGGTCCCAGCAGCCCATCGGGGAAAGGAGGTGAGGGTACAGTCAAGGGCAGTGGGAGGAAGTGGTTTAGATTTCTTCCCTTGTCAACAGATGCTCAAGTTTGAGAGACATTAGATCCATCAATCAATGAGTCTTCTCCCCAGGTTTTATGACAGCATCAAACTCAAGTCACCTGCAGTCCACCTTTATGATTTGGACCGTATCTGTGTACCATCTGTACTATTATATCTTTACTAGTCTTCTTTTTTCTTTTTACTTTTCGGCCACACCGTGTTGCATGTGGGGTCTTAGTTCCCCAATCAGGGAGCGAACCTGCACTCCCTGCAGTGGAAGCGCGGAATCTTAACCACTGGACCGCCAGGGAAAGTCCCTTTACTAGGTTTCTTTAAATCAACTCATTTTTTAAAACTTCAAACTTATGGCAAGCCAGGATCATTTGCATAAACAGGAGATGGTTGTAAAAATAAATCTTATTATTTTGCCAAAATACTATTTCCCACCAAAGGCTTTCTGAAGCTTGCTCTCTTGCCGTTAAGAAGAGATGCACTAAGGGTCTGAGAGGTTAAAGACGTGCTAGCACCAGACGAGCCTTTCTTCTTGGAGGACTTCAAGGAGGATTGAAGTGGGAGTGACTTTCTCACCACACCAACTAAAATCAGGTCCTATATCTTTATCCACATGCTTGGGGAGGGATGACTTAGGATCCCAGCTCTGCCACTTCCTGGCTGTGTGGCTTTGGGCAAGTGGCCTTGCCTCTCTGAGCCTTGGTTTTCATTTCTGTGAACTGGGGGTAATAATGCCTCCCCTGGATTCAGTCCTGGCCCCCCTCTTTCCACTGGGACCCTCTGCCCCTAGCATCACTGGGGATGATTTCCTGGTTGGGACCTCAATTTCCCTGAGTTCCCATCATCTGTCTTGCTCAGGTTCTCAGGTGAATCTTTGACACAGCTCCTGAAGGAGAACTGGGGAAGGGATGAGCTCTGAGCCCTCTGGGGCTGTGACAGAGCAACTGGAGTTAGGTGTGGTGAGGCCATCAGTTCTTGGCAGGAGCAAAACCCGCTCTGACTCTGCAGTTTGCATCGGGTTCTGCTGAGTCAGGGAAGGGCTCTCGGGTCTCTGTGCTGCTGGCTTTTAAGCTGCTGGACACATTGAGAGCTTGAGCCCAGGACAGGTATAGACTCTAGAAGGAGCACAGTTTGATCCTTTTTGAAGTGCCAGCTTGCCAATCCGTTGCTAAGTCAACCCAGTAGAATTCAAATGACCTACAGAACGATGCCGTTCCCTAGGGACTTTCCATTACATCGGGGTGCTGGGCAGGAATCCTCCAGTATCTTCCTGGCTGGCTTTATTCAGTCTTGTGGGCACAGTGATTTCCAGCCTCGGCAGGTAAAGGGCTCCTGCAAACAACGAATACCTCTTATTATGATGAACAGAAAATAAGACAGACAGATCCCTCTGTCTCTTGTCAAATAAAGACAGTGTCTGTGTAAATGCTTCTGCTTCATAGGCTGCAGATTTGCTCCCTTTGGCACTGCTGAAATTGTTGAAGGAGAAAATTAAGGAACTTGGGAGCTACTGTAAGGGTATTACATAGAGGAGGCGGCTCATCCCTAGCGCAGGTGGGTGACCTGAAGCTGAGTTTGGGCTTCTTCCTGGCGGCATCTACTTGCTGCTTTTTGCACTGGGATGCTGCCTGGGCCTCCTGGAATCTTCCCACAGAAGCCTGACTCACATCAAAGTGCTGATGACACTTGAAACATACCACTGGTCTTCGAGTCCATTTGGATACCATGTGGTGGCTTCCTAGGTTTTCTATTACTTTATTCCATTATTCTATTACTTTTTAAAGTAATTATTGTCCTTATTTTTTCTGAAAGACGAATGCAAGCTGCATTCTCTGTGGTTTGTGTGTTTTCAAAATAACAGAATCGCTCTAATAATATAATATTGTTATTTACAGATGTTCTTAGTTGAACATTTAAAACCAAAAGAGTTTGGTGAGCTGGGTCGGGGCAGAGATCACAAATTCAGGTGTTATTTTGCCTCCATCACAGAGTCTGACAGACCTGGATTCAAATCGCAGCTCTGCCACTGATCAGCTGTGTGACTTTGGGCAAAGTGACTTTGTCTCTCTGAGCTTCAGTTTTCACTTTTGTGAGATGCAGGTAATAAAGCTTCCCTTAAAGAGAGAGTTTGGTATTAAATGTTTTTGCTTGCCTGGCATCCTTGCCCCATTCTAGGACCAGCAACTTCTCCCATCTTCTGGGGAAATGTATCTCCTACGTTATAACTATAGTTATAGTCTATTGAGATTGCTGACAAGCCCCTCCCCCCAAGGTGGGCACATGACTCAGTTCTGGCCAATCAGATTCCATCCCTGGGAGGAGACCGGTTCGCTCTTTCTTCTGGGCAGTCTAACTAGAGGGGTACCAGCCTGGAGCTGCCTGTGACTATGTCTCTTGCAGGTCGCGGAGCAGGCATGGCTGCATCCAGCTACTCGAGTGAAGTCTTTAGAGCTCCATCTTTGTCTGTCTGGTGGTTCCACTCTTGTCCATGTTGGCTTATACAGGTCCCATGCCCATCTCTGAACCAATCATTCTGACTGGGCTTGACTGGCCAGAAGGACTCACTTGTCCATCCTCAAGCCTGGGTGGTCAGAGAGTTGCTGAGGGTCATTCCCCAAGGGAAGTTTAGGGTGCTCTTCCCAAAGAAGGGCGATGGGTCTTGATAAGCAAAGGCAACAGACTGACTCCATCCCTGGCAGAGAGAGCAACATGTACAAAGGGGTGGAGCTGTGAAGAGACCTACTGTGGGCTCAGAATTCAGTGTGGCTGGAGGGAGAGGCGCAGGGTTGGGCGAATGACAAGAAAGAAGCTGAAGAGAGAGGTTCGGACTGGATTGTGAGGGGCCTCATGAGCCCCAAATAACAGTGAAGTTTCCACATCAGTGGGATTGTCCATGGAGGGGTGAGATAGGTCCTTACCGCCTGACAGCCCCTCAATCCCCACCCCAGCACTGGACCAACTCTCATCTATAAGGGGCACTCACTAGATGTTTGATGGGAAAATGAAAATTTTTCAAATTCTCCAAGAGGAGGAGTTATAAAAAGGGAAGGATATTTTTATTTTATTCTCTCACAGAGAGAGAATATGCACATACTCATTAAAAGATGTAGTATTTGAGTGGTGACCACGGATTCAGAATTGCCCCAGGCACTTTTCGTGAATAGATTTATCCTCACCACAGTCCTGTGAGATAGGGATTATAATAATTATAGCTAAAGTTTATTGAATACTAGTGCCTAACATCATGCTAAGGGCTTTATTTATACACAGCATCTTAAGTTAATCCTCATAACAACCCTGTGAGGTAGGCATTATTTCACACACACACCCATCTTACAGAAGTATACACCGAGGCCCAGAGAAGTGAAGTGTCTTGTCTGTGGTCACACAGCAAGGAAGCAGCAGAGGTGGGATTTGAACCTGGGTGCGTGGTGATTTCATACAACTGTTGCATGGGCTCTTTTTGCTCCTCCTGAGATATTTTTATTTGTTCATTTCTGGCACGAGGATGATGCTCTCAGTGTCACTGGAGAAGAGGACGGTCCTCCGCTGGACCTCAGTCACGTGGAGCCAGCTGAACATGGGCAGGAGGCTGGCCAGGACTGTGTGGAAGATGGCAGTCACATAGCCCCAGCCCAGCTGGCACTGACCACTGTGGTACACAGAGGAGGCTAAGCAGGCTTCCTTGGCAGATGGGGAGGCCAAGCTGATCGGGAAAACCAGCAGGCCCACAATGGTGGCGATGGCTAGAAACAGCAGCAAGGAAAACCAGTGTGTCGGTCTAGGGGCTCTGGGCTGCCTTGCCATCCCAGGACTCACTCATCCACCCTCCTATCCCCCCACCCATCCATCCATCCACTCACTTATTTATTGGCTCACCTATCCTTTTATTCACCTATCACTCAGCTTAGCCTTCCACCCATCTGTCCATCTACTCACCCATCCACTCATTCTCTCCATTCCTACACCTACCTATCCATTCACTCATCCATCCAGCCAGCCAGCCAACCACCCACTTAGCCACCTGCCTTCCACCAGTTCATCCATCCATCCATCTATCCATATTCCAGTCTACCCATTTTCCCCATCCTTCCATCCACCTATCTAGTCATCCATTCTTCCAGTAATATATCTATTGATGCATCTATCAGCTCATCCACCTACTTACCCACCCTACTCCATCCATTCACCAACCCATCCATCCATCCATGCACTCATTCATCAAAACTGTTAGGCACTCTGTCAAAGGTACTAATGATACTAAGAAAATGAACTGGACACCTCCGCACCTAGAAGGCACTCCCCGTTCAGGAGAGTCACGTGACCTGCAGCCACCCTTCAGCCACTCTCGTCCACTTGAAGTTCCTTGCACATGCCTTGCTCTTGTCTCTATGCCTTTGCCCGTGATGTTCCCACTACCTGAAACACCCTTCTACATTTGGTTAACACCCACTCATCCTTCCAGATTCATCTCAGTGATGCCTCCTCAAGGAAGCCTTCCTTAACACCTTCCACACACTGGGTCAGGTACCTCTTGGAGTTTTTCTTTGCATCCTGTGCTCATCCTCTTGTGCCAGATATCCACTGAGTTATAACTGCCTAATACACCCCACCCCTAGTAGACACTGGGGGACAAGGACTGTATCTCCATCCATTGATTCAACAAATATTTAATGAGCAACTGTTATGTGCAAATTACCGTGTTAGATGCTGGTGATATCAAGGCAGACATGTCCTTGCCCTCATGGAGCTGATGTTCTAGTGGAGAGAGATGCACAGTAATCAAGCAGGCAGATAAGATATTATCAAGCAGGCAGGTAAGTGCTATGAAAAATGGAAAGCAAGGTAAGAGGAAGGAGACTCTAAGGAGAGGGAAGCTCCCTTACCTTGAGGTCATGGAAGACCCCCACTGAGGCAGTGATATTTGAGCAAAGCCCTTAATGAAGTGGGAGGAGCAAGATGTGAAGATCTGAGAAGAGAGAATTCCAGGCAGAGGGAACAAGCTTGGTTTTCATGAGCAACAGAAAGCAAGCCAGTTTGGCCGGAGCATGCTGAGCCTGGCGGAGCAGGTAAGAGATGAGGTCAGTGAGCGAATGAGGGCTTCATCGGTGGAGCCTCATCGGTAACAGGAAGTCATTGGCGCGGATAAGCCAGTCCGAGTGGCATGGTCTGATTTCAGCTTTAACAGGACCCACTTGGTCAGAGTGTGGCAAACAGACCCTAGGGGGCAAGGGTGGCAGCAGGGAGACGTGTGAGGTGGTCACCTCTAAACCAGGTGAGAGATGGTGGAGAATTAATTGGATGAAGGTTCAGTCAAGACCTGAGCTAGATCATCCCAAGCCGATGTGTGAATTAGAGAAAAGCAGATGCAGCCGGGCAGACGCAGCCCTGCAGTTTCACAGCTTAGGAATTGGAGCATGGTTAGGTTTCAGCAGCTCTCAGCCCTCAGCTGGATGCCCTTGTGCAGTGCACAACCTGCCCAACTGTATATGATGGTCCTGGTAAAAATGATGCAAAGTGGATGGATGGGAGAGAAACAAAGGAGGACAGACTATTAAGACTGGGTTTGGATAAGGGCAAGAGCGGGTGATGTTAAGGATACCATTCCCTACCTCCAACTTCTGGCTTGTTAAAGGACCTGGAATAGTCTACAATCCTAGGGTTTATCTCTGAGATTCAACTAGGAGGCAAGACTCTGCTTACAGGCTCATCCATCCGTCCATCCATCCATCCATCCATTCATTCCACAAACATGTCTGGAACACATATGTGATAGAAGATTTACCTGCTGTTGCCTGCACCCCTGGCATTGGGCCACTGCCCCTCCTTGGGCACAGGCCTTTGGGGGCTAAGGCCCAGGACAGGAAGAGAATTGCACTGAAGGCCAGTAGGAGTCAGCCTCCAAGGAGCATCACAGCTGAGACCTGCCAGGAAGAGAAAGGATGGAGGGTGTTGTCTGGGGTGGGGTCAGTCTCTGCTCTCTCTGCTTAACTGATCAGCTACTGAGTCCTCAAAATCCCACAAGGTCTGTGCTATTATTATCCCTGTTTTACATATAAACAAACAGAGGTATAAGGAATTGGAGTCATTTCCCTCAGAGCACACAGCTACTTAAGAGGTAGAGTCAGAATTAAGATCTAGATCTACAACCACTATACCCTCCCTTTATTGAGTACCTGCTATACAGCAGAGTCACCAAGAGAGGCACCTTTGTAATCATCGGTTTTGAAGGCTGTGTAATCTTCCTTAGAGGTGCTGAACTGGGAGTCCCAACCCATTGTGCCCATTGTTGAATTTGGCAATTTGCAGTGACTTTCAACACCTTAGCTGTGCTTTTCAAACCTAGCAGCGCTTAGATAGAGGATGACCAGGTAGGTGTATACAGGTTGTGCACTGCACAACTCCAGGAGATGCGTTTGGGAGTCATCACAGAAATGCATATTGACTACAGTACTTTTGCAGCAGATGGCAGTATAGTGTCCTGAAGAAGGGGCACCCTTTTCCTAATTTGTACAAAGGCACTGCACCATGGCAGCTGCTTTCAGGATCATCCTGGGTGTTTGCTAAAATGTGGATAGCCAGGCCCCGCCGCACCTACCGAGTCAGAGGTTAGAATGAAGGTGGGCAGAAATTGGTTTTTTTCTTTTTTGGCTCTGATGGGTTTAAGAGTGCCCCACCGCCAGGTCCCAGTGAATCGATGAGACCACGCCTCACCTTCCAGGCAAAGTCAGGAATATCATCCAGGGACCTGAAGGTCCCACAGCTCTGGTTCCGGCTGTTACCCTGAGGCCAGGAGCAGTAGGTGAGGACACCAAAGGAGAAAGTGGTGGTCTGCAGCCAGGCAGGAGAGATGAGGCTGAGGGCTGAGATGCAGGTTAGGGAAAGCCCCAGAGTTGCCCACACGCTGCCCACCATCAGGGAATGTCAGTGACCTAGAGGTCAAGGGACAAGATTAGTGGAAGGAGAGAAACAGGAGCTGGCAAAGGTGTCCCCCGCTCCCCAGCCAGCCAGGGATCTGGTCCTGTCTTCAGATCACAGGTCATTAGCCTCCCTTCGGCCTGGGATGCACTTGGAGGTGTTAGTAACTGGGGTGAGGGTGGGTCTTTTCCCTAACAAGTTCTGGAAGTCGAAACTCCAAACTTTAGAATGAATGTTAGTGCTCAAACAGACCTTGGAGCACAACCAGTCCTCGGGAAATGATCATCACTGGTCCATGCGAGCCCCCTCTCGTGTTTCATTAATTCATTCATTTATTCCTTCATTCATTCGCTTTGCCCATCAAGGCTTCCACTTTCCAAAAGGTCTGCTTCTACCCAGAGGGAGCACCTTTTCCGAAATCACACACAGATGCTGTGTTTCTAGCAACCACCCTGCCCATCAGCTATCTCCTCTCAATCCCTGACCATTATTTAATGTGTATCTTTTTGTATGGAGGTATTTTTGCAAAATCAATATTGTTCAGTATATGTGTATTCTTCATGTATGTAAATGGCATTGTTTTATATATTGCTGTTTCATGTGGTGCCACATATGACCCCTGAGGGATAGTCAGGTGGCACCTGAGCCCAGCCATAAATGCCAAGAGTTATTTAGTTTTCAATTCTCCTTCAGTCCTTCTCTTTACACTAAGGAGAAAATGTCTGTTGGAGCTAAAGGGTCTTAATCATCTCCCAAGCGTCTGTCAATCTCCTCTTTTTAAAAGACAGGGAGGCTTGAGCAAGCAGTGGGGTCTAGTGAGATTTTGGGGTTGTAGTTGGATTTTCCTTGTCTTTGTTGTAGTGTTTTTGTTCTATTTTTTGGCATGATACTGGTTATGCATTTTAAATTAAAATCTATTTTAAGGAGAAAGAGAGTTGATTTCAAGTCCAGTCTTACCAAAATAATAATAGAGGTTGGATGAGGATGCTGAGGCAGGATGGTGGTTTGCTAATAGCCAACATTGTCACTGATGGTCAGAAGTGAGGCCCAGAAGGGCCGAGGCAGCCTAAGGGCACCCGGGGTCAAAAGCAGCTGAGCCAGCCAAGGGCACCTACACAGACTTCCCAGGACTTCAACCTTGGGTTTCACTTTGGGACTCTAAGCCCAGCCAGCACTTTAAACGTGGCCGGAATCCTGGGCTTGGAGGCCAGCCAGTCCCTCTACCACTTCCCAGCTGTGTGACCTGCAGCAAGTTGCCCCATTGCTCTGGGCCTCAGCTTCTCCATCTGTAAAAGCAGATTCTAAATCCCAGGGGGCATGTGGTGTTGGGTTCAATCACTGAGCAGGATGATGTGGTAGAAAGAAGCAACAAACCATGTTTCCCCCATATGACCTTGGGGAGGTCACCTCATCTCTCTGGAAATGGGGGTAGGGGTGTTGTGAAGGTTCTAGGGGGTCAGATGCAGGTGTGTTGCAGGGAGAGGGGCTGAGCTAAGCCTGGGAAGGTAGGTCAGGGTAAGGTGGCACAGGCATTTTATTCCCAGGATTAGAAAAACCTCATGGCAGCTAGCCAGCAAATGAGACACGGCCCCTTGAGGAATGGAGGATGGATTTTTGTCCTACACCAAAATCAGCCTCAACTTTGGGGCTGGCAGGATCCCGAGGGGTGTAATTCCAGCCAGGAAGCTGGGGAGCCCAGAGCTGACTGAGGCCCGTGATTTTGCCTCTCTCTGGCTGCCCCAGTGCCTCTCCGGGCGTTTCTGACCTTGAAAGAAGTTTTGTTCTCCGGATAATGTGCTCAGTGTCACCTGGGAAAATCACACCAACCGTCCAGGTGCCCAGAAACTTAAATGAGGCATTATAACCCGAAACCACATCCGGCCAGGCTTCAATTACCTGGAATCCACCTAAGGGAAACATGAAAGGGATTGAATATTTGCTCCTCCAGCTCAGTGCTTAACTGTTAATGGCAGTTGACGATTCCTGAGCACTCATCAAGCCCCATTCTAAACTCTTTCAAGTGCCTCATTCAATTTAAGACTGTGGTCCCTCTATGATAGGGTGGGTAGTACTGTTATCTGAGTTCCTATTTTACAGATGACAAAACGAAGCCTCAGGAAATGAGTGGTGGACCAGGGACTCAAACTCAGGGAATCAGGCTCCCGACTCTGGGACCTAAACCCAAAGTGATATTAAGGAATTAGTTTAAAAGTCAAATACCCCAGCGGTTTTTAGGAGCTACCCAGGGTTAGAATTTGGTCAACCCTCCCACCTGCTCCAGCCAGTGAGCACGGATGGCCAGGGCAGCCATAGTCAGCCACGGCACGAACCCGTGTCCCCTGCATCGGCAGGCAGACTCTCAACCACTGCACCGCCAAGGAAGCCCAGAAGGTGACCTTTGAGTAAGAGCTGAGAGAGGAAGCCATGTGGATTTACGGGGGAGGAAATTCCAGGCAGAGGGAGGAGCAGGTGCAAAGGCCCTGTGGTAAGCGTGTACTTGGCGTGTTGGCAGAAGCAAAGAGGACCCGGTAACTGGAAGGAATGAGGAAAGGGGGAGAGTGGTGGGCCTTGTAGGCAATGATAGATCTTTGGCTTTTACTTTCTGAGTGAGATGGGGAGTCTGTGGGTGGTCTCGAGCAGAGATGTGACGTCACCTGTCCCAGTGTTTTAAAAAGATCACTCTGGCTTCTGCATGGAGAAGAGGCAGAAGGAAGGGCGAGGAGGAAGCAACCAGAGGCAACTTCAGTCGGTCAGGTGAGAGACATCAGTGGACCTGAGAGAGAGGAGAGAGGGAGGGTGGGGGCGGATTCTGGATCTTTGTTGAAGGAAAAAGGTAGGTCCGGCCAACCGGCTTTGCTTATGGATTGGACTTGGAGTGTGAGGGACCAAGAGGAGGCAAGGATGCCGCCAGGGCTTTTGACCTTGGCACCTGGAATGGAGGAGCTGCCCTTACTTGAGATAGGGAAGCTGTAGGAGGGACCGGTTTGTTAGGAGAGGTGGAGATATCTGAGTGTGGTGTAGCCTAAATGAAGTCTGAGATGTGTATTTCGCCAACCCATCGATCGACAGATGCAAACAGACACAGCGTCACACCAAGGTAAAGCCCAGGGTGATGTTGGGGCAGGCACAGAGGAGGGGCACCTGATCCAGCCTGGGTGCCAGGTGACACCCAGGCTGAGATCTGAAGATGGGCAAGTCGGGTTTAGGGGAGGACTTTGACCCGCATCCCTCGTCTCATTCTCCTAGCTGCACAGCCAGTCAGCCCTACTTCTGGTGCTTTTCCAGCTCCATTACAAGTTGGCTGTGTGAGCTGGTCAAATTATGATGTAATGTAATGGCTCCAAGCCTCTGTTTCCCCATTGCAGTGGACTGAGTGTTTGTGTGCCCCCCAAAATCACATGTTGAAATTCTAACCCCAGTGGTGATGGTATTGAGAGATGGGCATTTGGGAAGTGATGAGGTCATGAGGGTGGACTTATGAATGGCATTCGTGCCCTTATAAAGAGACCCCAGGGAGCACCCTGCCCCTTCTGCCATGTGAAGACATAGCAAGAAGACAGCCAACTATATACCAGGAAGCGTGCTCTCACTAGACACCAAATCTACCTGATCTTGGAATTCCTAGCCTCCAGAACTGAGAGAAATAAATTTCTGTTGGTTATAAGCCACTTAGTCTGTGGCACTTTGTTATAGCAGCCTGAGTAGACTAAAACACCCACCTGCAGAAAGATGGCCGTATCCTAGACCAGTGGGACTTAACCTTTTGGAGGTGATGAATTCCTTTGAAAATAGGATTTAAAAGCATGGATGCATTCTTCATGCAGGCTAACTTGTACACGCACAACCCTCCACACACACACACAGTATTGCAATTTCAGGGGCTCATGGACCCTTAAAGCCCATTATGGTTCCTGGACAATACCTTCCTCTCTCCCCATCCTGACCTCACATCCTTTTTCCCTCCAGACTCACCACACCTCAGGTCAAGACCCTC